AAAAAGAATGTTAGTTTTTAGTTTGCGACGTAGTTAGTTAGCAGTGAACCTTCGATGCAATCAAAGTTGCTTTGTAAATAAAATTATTATTTTTGTAGATTGTTGAAGTATTTCACTTCATTTAGAATTAGAACCACCTTTCGCAATAGACTGTTAGAGCAATTTTATAAAAGTAAGCTTGAACTTTCGATTATGTCAAATAGAATTTCTGATATATGATTATTAATATGTAAAGGATCTACAAAGCGAAAGTATTTTTCAAAGTTCATTAAACAAAAAGTGGAATTCCTGCAAAAAATGGATAAAGGCATATCTTTTGTTTATCTAAACTTTAATGTTTGTTTATCTAAACTTTGTTTATCTTTAACGCGGCGGCGTGCAATGAATTGGAAGTTGACCTGTCAGCACTATCCTTATCTTCAGGGCAGATGTTTTTATTTTATTTAGCTTATAATTCCTAACTAAATGTAAAATTTCATCTCGATGTACTCCATCTTTGATATGATTTAAATCAAATTTCTCGTCATTATAATTCGCTTCCGATAGCGATGACAGAGGTTATTGAAAACGAAAAAATTTCGATTGACAAATTAGTCGATAGACACAGCATTTATAGGACTTGAACAGCAGAACTTTGTAACTGAACAAGAAATTATGTCTGTTTATAGAATTAAAGAGAATGCATTATCACATAAAAAATGAAACAACTTACATTGAAAGAAATGTTTAATAAAGTAAACAAATAAATATTAAGCTTTTTTTTTTTTTTTTTTTTTGTAAATTTTGATACCCTTTAGATCATAATTGTTCTTTATTTCATAAATTACGGTTTCATATTTTTAATTTTATAATTTCTGCATGCCATCTTACCAGATTTAAACTGATGATCTATAATCCGGAAAAATCGATAATTCGGAATTGCCGAAGTCCCGACGAATCCGGATTAACGACTTTTGACTGTATATTGCATGAGCAACTGAAAGCCCAAACACACAAGCAAAGTTTAACTTAATTCTTTTTTTTTAACCTCATAACTCATGGGTGCTCACTTCAAATATTGAAAAACATTGAAAAATACATCTTGACTTCAGCAAATAACTGGAACTTCATTAGTTATGATAATGAAGTCAATGATATGAAGTCAATTAGATATGATACATGTACTTTTACTCAATGCTAAAACATTTTTGGGTCAGACAACCTAACCAAATAAAACATTTGCTTACCATCCTGTATCAAATGTCCAGCAAACTATTTCCCATGAGCAGCAGCTTTCTGGGCACAAAGCAAGCATGGCAGCTGTTGCACTGACAAATGTCTCTCAACTACAAGTTATGCAATTATAATTATTCTTTCCAATTTAAACTGTGTGACTTGCCAATAAATCTGCATAAATCTCTGGATTTTAACTTTCAGGGCTCAATGTGAATTCGAGAGGTCTGTGGTTCGAGTACCGGCTAAGGGCATTGCTCATTTTTTAAGTCTCCCACTTCCAAATAACCTAATGTCTCTACATACTTGCTATACATACTTTGGCTACCGAATTGTGAAAGAAGAAAATTGATATATGTTGCAGAAGCACAATTAAAAATAATTCCTTTTAAATGTTCATATCTCACAGAATATTCATGGGTTTCAATTCAAATTTGTATTTAATACTAATAATAATATTGTTCTGTTTTCTCTAAGGTTCATGATACTTAGTTGAAAACTCTCCATAATATATGAAAAATCTTTAAAAAAACTTAAATTTTTAAAGGAAATTTTTACATCTTCATTTATATATAAATGTTCAGCATGTGAAATATTTTCATAGCTAATTTTTTGGTATTTATGGTACAATGTGAACAGAAATAACTTTTTCTTATTAACAATTTTGTTCTTGCTCTTCCAAATACATCTGTGATTAATTTTTTACTAAAAAATGTGAGTTCAACCATGGCTGCAATTATTGAACAAACTATGAAATACTAAAAGGCCTGAAAAAAAAAAAATATCTAAAATCTAAAGTATCCACTGACTTTTGGATTGTGTACTGATTCAAAGTTTGAGCAATTATTTCAGACAAAGTAACCTATAAAAACACAAAACAACATGTAAAACCTACATTAATATAAACATTACTTCTCACAAAAACTAGAAATACTATATGAGAAATGCATAGCTTATATGAAAAAGAAATAATGCATGTACGATATAGTTTTACCTTCCATAACTGAAAAAACAATTAACATATTGAAAGTTCAGATGTGGTGTTAATGATGAGAATGTGTCAGATTGAGGTCATAAGAGTTCAGTTTGGTGGAAAGTAGAGACTGTGCTGTTAGGAAGGTTAGAGGTTAGGTTACTTGAATACAGTCAAAAGTCTTTAATCCAGACACGTCGGGACTTCAGTGATTCCAGATTATTGGTTTTTCCGAATTATAGATAATCAGTTTAAATTTGGCAAGATGGCATGCAGAAATTATAAAATAAAAAATATGAAACCGTAATTTATGAAATAAAGAGCAATTATGATCTAAAGAGTATTAAAATTTGCAAAAAAAAAAAAAAAAAGGTTAGTATTTATTTGTTTACTTTATTAAACATTTCTTTCAATGCGCGCATGCGTAAATCATACATTACGCATAGTCGAAATTAGAAAATTGCAACCAGAAAACTATTTGATGTGTATTCGCGATATTTATAATAACGAGGAATTTGATTTAAATCATATCAAAGACGGAGTACATCGAGATGAAATACTACATTTAGTAAGGAATTACAAGCCGAGTAAAATAAAAACATCTGCCCTGAAGATAAGGATAGTGCTGACGGATCAGCTTCCAGTTCATTGCACGCCCCAACGTCCCCCCCCCCAGAGCAGCAGCCTGAAATTGATAAACAGATTTCGGAATGGTTAGAGAAACAAAGAATATGCCTTTATCCATTTTTTTGAAGCAATTCCACTTTTTGTTTGATGGACATCGAAACATGCTTTCACTTTGTAGATCCTTTTGGCAGCTCCAGAATCGTAAATTCTTTTTAACATAATCGAAAGTTCAAGCTTACTTTTATAAGATTGCTCTAACGGTCTGCAAAAAATAATAAGCCGGATCCAATTCGAAGATTAAGGAACAACGCAATCTGCGACATTAACTGAAATAAATAATTAGATAATTTTAGCTTAGCTTATACCGTTCGTTATACATTAAAACGCACAATGCGTAAAGGTGTTATGTGCATGCTTAAACACATATGCGCATGCGTAAATGTATTATGTGTTTACGTATGTGCAGAAAGTTTGTAGCTTTGAGGTCCGGATTATAGATCATTCCGGATTAAAGACTTTTGACTGTATAAAAATGCTGAAAAAGGGATACTTTTGTGGAATACTTTTTGAAGGAAACTGGTTACACATGGAGAAAACCATCCATACAGCTAGTTTGTTCAACAGCATTTGATTTCAAGCCACGTCGAAATACCAGTATTCAGTGATCTTAACCACCTGGCCACTAGTGAGCTGCAGGAGGTCAGAAAATGGATTATCTTGCTATTTAATTCCATCAAAACAAACAGTCATAATAACACGAATCATTTTACATCAGCCATAAAAAATTATATATCTCAATATTCAACACCAAGAGAGATAGACACCGAAGAATACCGACTATTTGCCTTCCACACAACCAATATTTGTCCTTTGTTGCAACTTAACAGGCATACCCCAATGATAATATAATGATTCCAATATAATTCTTTATAGAGAATCAAAACATCATGCAAGCTTACTTTGAAACTCTGTCGGTTTTTAAATTTAAAAGCACATATTTTTTTGCTGTCAGCACCTAAAATAATCAGATATTTCCCCTTACCTTTGTAAAAGCAAAAGTCCTCTTGGGATTTCTTTCATTCAGTAAAATAATCTGCTATAAAGGTGAAAGAGAATAAAAAACTCTTGCAAAATTAGGCACAGCTCTCATGGATTTCAAATATTTATCTTGCATTAAATTACATTTCCCTTCTGACATTAATTTATATTGTGTTTTTTATTGGCATCTTCTTCTCTTATTTCAAGGAAAAGTTTTTAAAAACCATTTGCTCAAACGTAAAAGAAAAACTCAAAACTGATGTAAATGATGAAATTTGTACACAGTAATACATTATAAACAAGACATCTGGAATATCTTCATTTAAAAGTTAATTTATTTTTTTAATATTATATTATTAATATTATTTTTATACGAGGGCTACCAGAAGTAGATTACGTTTTGGAAAAAAATAAACAAAGTATAGGAACAAATTTTATTATATACAGATGAAAGCCACACCAAAACTACTTTTCTACATAGTCACCATACAAATTAAGGCATTATCGTAGCGATGTACGACGAGCTTGGAAATTCCTTCGTCGAAAAATTCGGCCCGCCTGCGCCTTCAACCACTTCGTTACCTCTTCTTGCTTGCTTCCATCTTGCACAAAACTTTGGGGTAACCCAAGCTTTTCGCTGATGATTTCGTGCAACAAACTTCGCGAAATTTGTGGAAAACTCAAAGAAAGTTCCGTTATTGTGAAATTTCGATTTCACGACTTTAGCATCGACTTTTTGCAAAACTCGGCGGCACTATGCTGGGTCCTCCACTTCGTCTTCGTCGTGAACATTGGTTCGGCCATTTTGAATCTTAGACCCACTGACGCACCCACCTTCATGATAGTGTCCCCATAATACTTCACGAACTCCGATAGAGATTCTATCGGTTTACAGTTTTTGCAGTCGAAACCTTATTACTGACGCACCTCGCACATCGCGGATTTCAATTAACGCAGACATTCAAAAACCGTCACAGTATCTGAACGGAGCACAGCACGAACCTCTCACGAGCACGCTAGATGCAGACTGAGCTGCGCAACGCTCTGACCCCAAGATGGCCGCGCTAGCCCCGCCCCTAGCGGACACAGACGGAAACGTAATCTACTTCCTCGATGGCCCTCGTACATAAACAGATAAAATCATGCTTACATATGCAAAGAAGGGCCAAAAAACATTTGCACAAGAATTAAAAATAGAGACAATTCTTGTTGGATTTCTTCAAGTTTCTCTTCATTGTCACAAATGCTTATAACTATATAGTTTGAAATCTGCAATGAAAAACATAAATTAATTCAAAAATATGTCAAACAGAAAGAAAATACCTAAAAAAAAGATGACTTTTAAAAAGCCAGATTATTCAATATTGTTACAAATTTTGCATTTAGATAGCAAATTTTGGTAGAATTGAAATTAAAATTGTTGTATTTTCCTCTGCAATGCAGCGCAAGGCAAATTTTAAGAAAAAGCTTTGCCGGAAAACTAAGAATACAGGCGAATGTGCATTTAACAACGAGTAAACAGATATCTCGATAATTTGTATTGACATTGAATAAATGAAATTGACCACTATGTTAGCTGTAACCATAATTCCACCCTCTCATTGTTTTCGAGTAATTTCGAGAGACAGAAAGTACTAGAAATATCTCGCAACTGGTTGAAAGCTATAAAAGGCCTCAGAGAGAGCGTCTGAGTTCAGTTGCTTAGTTACTGTTGTTGCAAGTTGTCTAGTTCCATGTGAACTGAGATAGAAGAGTTAGCTTTCTCTTTAGGTACACTTTGCAGTGGTTGTATTTAACATTCTTAGAAATTTGAAGTAATGACTACTGATTATATTGCATGATACTGCGAACACATGTACGAATATCTCTAAGGAAAATTCCAGAGTCCTTATATACAGTCAAAAGTCGTTAATTCGGACACCCATAATTCGGACCTCAAAGCTACAAACTTTCTGTGCATGTGTCGCGTTGACGCATGCGCATAAGACCTTTGCGGCTGCGAATATGCTTGTGCGCAAAATATGTTTACGAATGCGTGTTTAATGTATAACGGACGGTATAAGCTAAGCTAAAATTATCTAATTATCTATTTCAGTTAATGTTGCAGATTGCATTGTTCCTTAACCCCTTCGAGCCGGGACGAAAAACGCGCGCTTATAGCGGAGGCCAGCAGTGTCTTACATGAGCGTCTGTCCAGGGCCGGGGACTTTTTTTGCTACTAAGCCTAAATCCATGAAATTTCTGAAGTATCAAAGCACTGTTTAATAATGCTCTATAGAGTATTTAAATGGCTTATGCTTTATAGATATTTTTATATATACTTTAATACCTATTTCTTGTTTAAATGCATATTTTACACATTTTATTTTAATTACTCACCATTTTATGAATTTTAACATTATACATCTGAAAACCAATATATTACTTAAAATTCTCTTTTCGTATGAAAAATTTGAAAATAGGGATCTACACACCTACGTTACATCCTTGCACTCGTAAAACTCATTTGCCGTTTTGGAGATTGTTTCCGGGAATGTGAACAAACGAAGCATCGTCGTCTCATTTCTTATCAGTCTCTTCTGAACAAGTTTGGAAAATGTTTTTCAGTTCTTTCAGAATCAATAGAAGATATCAGAATTTCAGATCAATATCTGAAATATTTTGCATCATTTCGGCTATTTCATGATCTGTTAAACATTTTAGACGCTCGACAATTGCAACGGTAAAACAAAGAATTCACGTCTAACAAGATCTAATATTTCTAAAAACTGAACTGCAAACCAAATACCCAACGCTTTAGAGCAATAAACTTCTCTACTTACAGTAAACAACTACCACGTGCGAATAAAGTGCGATTTAAAGAGACGTCATAAATCACGCCATTCGGAAACATTTATTTCCCCATTTGTTTATATAATCAAAAACACGTGTATGTGAGTCAGCTTCTCTCATTTGAGTAGAAGGTCTAATTACATGTATCTGAAACCATATGGACATACAGTGCCATCTTGTGGCAGAAATGATAGTTTGAGAAACGTTCCAAAGTACTGGCACAAATACGTGACAGTCGGTAGAGAACGGAACAATCCTCTGGCACGCCTGTGTGTCGGCCGGTAGGTAAGTGTGTTCGTTGCTGGCATGTATACGTGACAGTCGGCGCGAAGGGGTTAATCTTCGAATTGGATCCGGCTTATTATTTTTCCAGACTGTTAGAGCAATTTTATAAAAGTAAGCTTGAACTTTCGATTATGTCAAATAGAATTTCCGATATATATTTACTAATATGTAAAGATCTACAGCAAAAGTATATTTCGAAATCAAATGGATAAAGGCATGTCCTTTGTTTCTCTAACCATTCCGAAATCTGTTTATCAATTTCACACTGCTCTGCGGCGGTGAATTGGAAGTTGATCTCTCAGCACTATCCTTATCTTCAGGGCATGTTTTTTTTTATTCGGCTTATAATTCTTACGAAATGTATATTCATCTCGATGTACTTGATATCATTTAAATCAAATTCATCGTCTTATAATTTGCTTCCGATAGAGAAAGTGACACAGAGGTTATTGAAACGAAATAATTGATGACAAATTAGTCGGTCTCTCGACACAGCAATTTATAGACTTGAACAGCAAGTTTGTAACTCAACAAGAATTATATCTTTTATAGAATTAAAGAGAAGTTTATCACATAAAATGAAGCAACTTACATTGAAAGAAATGCTTATAAGTAAAGAAATAAATATTAAGCTTTTTTTTTTTTTTTTTTTTTTTTTTTGTAAATTTTGATTACCCTTTAGATCATAATTGTTCTTTATTTCATAAATTACTTTCATATGCCAACGTGTAAAGCCTAAGATACTTTCATATTAATCTGGAAGGTTACTATATAATAAACTAAGCGATTTAAAAGTAATAAACACATTTCTTAAGAATATTTTTTTCTATTTTTTAATCTGACTGATTTAAATAAACATTTATTAAAATCATCAGATGTCTAATTAGAAATATTCAATATTTTTAAGAAATTATGCTAGTTGGACTCATTGAAAATCATTACAAATTTTTTCTTTTTTATTGTACTTATTTTAGGGGGCTGGCCATGCAAGCTGCCAGTTTTTAAAGAAATAATGTAGCAAATAATAAAAATAGGTATGACAACTTCTAACACTGTATCAGGAATTCTAAAGGTATACTGTTTTTAAATATTTTGTGATTTTACAGTTGAGTTGAATTGAATTGTATGTGGCATAAATACAAAGAACATGACATTCAATAAATAACGTTAACATATAAAATTTAATAAAAAAAAAGGGGAAAAGTTTTTTTTTTTTTTTTTTTTTTTTTTTTTTTTTTAGCTATCTCAAGGAAACTGAATATCAATATGATGAACTAAGAAAAGACTGAAAAAATATTAAAATTTAGGCTAACACACTTAACACTAGATCAAGAATTCTAAACATTTGTTGCTATGCTAAAAATTCTATGATTTTGTTGTTGAACTCTATGTGCTGTAAGTGTGAAGAAAATGATGCTAATAATAAAGCTATAAAGACAAAAAAAGAGAGAGAGAGAGAGATGTTAGCAGAAGTGAGTGCAAGAGCAGACTGGTAGACTGCAAGCTCAGCAAAAGCATAAAAAACCTTAACAAAACCGTTTGATCTACAATTAAAATCTAAAACCTTTCAGACTGTTTTTTTAAATAGTTTTACAATAGCAAGGTAACACACAGACTTCTTATTATTCATTAAGTTCGTAATGATAAACTTGAAAATATAAGTTTTTAGGGCTTTATTCTAATGCATTAATTTGCATGCATCTATATAACATCTGGATTTGTATGACTGAATATATGAAGTATTATTAAAAGCAAAGTTGTAAGAACTATACAAAAAAGACCAATTTTCATCAAAGTTTTTTACGCAACGTGCTGCAAAAGTTATAGCTGTTTAACTGCTTATGGCAAGCATTTGGGGGCTATATGCTTTAGGAGAGTGATAATTTTTCATATAACTTCATAAAGGTAACCATCTCAAAATGCCATGGAAAGAATCAGAAAATTGTCCATGCACTTGGCCTGTTCACTGGGATTTGAACCTGAGTCAAATTATCAATGTTTAGTAGTCAGAGGCGTAGCTAGGGTTCTGAATTTATGGCAGTATTCGACAACTGATTAAGGGAAATGTGGTAAATAACACATAAAACTCAGCAGCTTTTTACTGCTAATGCAATAAAACATCCCACAACTATCAGCAGACAATTAGACAATTATTCTGATGAACTTCTTTGTAAAGGATCTTTTTTTTTTTTTTTTTTAAATTTATTTTAAAGTTTGTTTTACTCTTGTACTGTTTTATATGAAAGCTAATTCTTAACAAGTAGAACACCTACAAAATTACATTAAGCAATATCCTTACTTGTCCACAAAGAGTTAAAGAAATTTTGCATTGCTTTATAATTTAAAAATATGAACTGAGTTATAAAGCAAATATTAGTATGTTCGATATTTATCTAAGTGTGTAACAATAGGCATTAAATGTGTTGCAGTATGTATTAAATGTGATGTATTCATTAAAAATTGTAACAGGTCTTCACAAAAGAATCTTACAAAACATGGTTCAAGAACTCAGAGCTTTTGTACCATTATTAGGAAAAATCAGCTGGTAAATAGAGTTTAGATATTACACTAATTATTTACGATATCTCAAAACACAAAACTGAAAATCCTTGAAACTTTTAAATTGGGGAATTAAATTCATTTTTTAAAAATATTTTCTTGACTTACATGCTGTGTCTTTAATTGTATATTTTTAAGGATGACTGCATTCCTCATTATTTTATAAAAATGGAACAAAAAGTGGAGGGAGAGTTTCACCAACATATTACTACTTTTTTTTAATTTCAAGTGCATGTTACATTTAGAATTTTATATGTTTTTCAGATTGTATATAGGGTTTTTGTCCTTATTGACTTTACGTGCAGAGTTTGACATGGGGGCCATTTTTATTGGCCTTTTACAAAAGAACAAACAATTTAAAAAACACTATGTTAAAAGCAATAACAATACATAAATTAATGCAAACATTATACATATACACATAATTAACTGTAAAAAAAAATTACTTCATCAAAAACTAGTAACACTCCATCTTCAGACTCGATGTATTTGTATTTATTACCAAACTGGGCTTGCATCACTTTGTAAGAAGCAATCAGTGGTGAGAACAACTGCATAATTACATTTTTGTCTACGATGCCATCACTGTTTTTAAATGAGGAAAACTGTGAACAGAAAATAATGTAATATATAAAATGTTAGATATAATTTCTCCAAAAAAATCCCACAGCTAACTAAAATTTAATATTTGTGACTAGTTGTATAGTGCATGATTTGTATGCTAAGTTAATGACTTAAAAATATTGTTGAGGTTTTTTAAACATACAGCCCTAAAAGGTAACGAGACAGTATAAAAGATTTATTTTCTAAGTACAATTAATAATTTAAATAACAATTAATAATTAAATATTAAATAACTTTTAAAATAGCAATTACCATGCATAATTCATTCTGAAAAACAAAGAGTTATTTAACACTAATGCAATATATCCGAACTTAATAGTACAAAAATTACATTTTTAATACCAAAGCCTAAACAAATGAGAAGATAGCTAATAACAAAATCTTAATTTAACGGAGTTAATTTTTTTAATAAAACGCTCAGTGCAAGGACCTGTCATGGAGAGCACCTAATGTTGGATTTGTTAATTTCACTCAAACACTGCATAATTATTTTAAAAAATTTATGTGAATATATTTACAAACAAATGGCATGCACTATTTGGAAATAAGTGAAAAAATCAATTCTAATTTTTTTTATCTAACATTCATATTAAGTCCCTTCACTTCCTGCAAATATGGATGACATTGTTGGCAATGTAAAAATTTTCAAATAAGTTGTCTGCAGTTCTAATCCAGTTGGTAGCAGCACTGCTTTTGTTCAAAATCCTTCATTCTAAAATCGTCTTATTTAAATATATGCATACGTATATTAATTAAAATTATTTTCAAGGGAACGATGCAAAACATGATGTTACATAAAAACTTCATTAATTCCTCCCCCCCAATTTGTTGTACATTTCCACAATTTTTTTTTTACAACTGATAGATTCTTTAGTTTTAAACTAGTTCACTTTTACAGAAAAAAGACAGAAAGAAACAACACCAAATCTATTTTTATATTTATAAAGTAAATTAAAAAAAGTAACAAATGTTCTCAGTAGTTATTTTTGTGGATGAAAAATCCAAAAAAAGTTTTGCTTTTAAAAAAATTACAATCAGATTATTTTATGAAATGATTTGTTTTAAAATGTCACACAGGTATATTAAACCCACATTTGCAAAATGTTTTGAATACCTACAAAGAATCATGCAATAGAAAACTGCAAAGTTATAAAAAAAATTCTGTTGTATTTCAAGATTTTTACATGAAGCATAATAGCTGATAAATTTTGATCTTTGATATTAATGTAGGAAAATCATAGATGCAAGCATGGGCATAGCCAGGACCAGATTGGGGGGGGGCAAACAATCTTAGAATGAGAAAACGAAACTATGACATGACACAAATTCTTCAGTGGTAAGAGTAGATAAAATTGCTTAACACCAGTAATTTGATTTGAAAGTGAATTAATTGGTTGGCTGCATGAGTGTTTTTTTTTTTTTTTTTTTTCCCCCTCATGCAATATAAATTCCATACGAGCCAGTTTACCTCAAACAATTCTCCTCCAAGACAGCTTTCCTTCAGGATAGCACTCGCATGCTTTGCTACAGTCAAATAAATGAAAAAATAAATAATGAAACTGGATTACATGAGTTTAAACTGACCATTGGAGATAGGAATAAAGAGACTTCTGAACATTTTTTACTAGGTCTTTAATTTATATTACAACAATTTTTCTGCATTCTGAACTAAATCATTCTAAAACTTCTTTTTCTGTTTCTATTCTTGTTTCTTGAACAAGCTTTCAATGCACACTTAACATACACAGCCCATTTAAGTGATTCTCTGTCATTGTAGAGTGCAACCAAGTTTTTACTATGTGCAGGGTATTAAGTGAGTGTTCAATAGTACATGTAGTACATGGTTGAGACAAAGATATAAGAAGAGCATGTTTCATTTCTGGGAAAACAGTTGTTTCTTTTACCAAATCTTCCATAGTTAACTCCTTCATGTTGTTGATCTCTAGTTTCTTCATTTTCCAGAAATAATACTACAGTTCCCTCTCACTGTCAAAATTTTTCAAATTATAAAAATTGCGAAACCACTTCACTTTTATGGTAAATTCTTCCACTGCCATCTTTAGCATAGCCATAGGATGTAATTAATAACAACAAAGAAAATGCTGATAAATCATTGCTGGAAAATTTTTCTTCCAGTGATAGTATTATGGAATCCAGATAAGCGATAATAAGAGAGCTTTTCTAGAATTCATTGATTTTAGGTGCTGGAGGATTTGAGCGATGTTTTTGCAGTTTTACAATTCTCATTGCTTGCAATTCAGTGCCAATGCTCTCAGCTATAGCACTTGCAAAAAACAGAATTTTCTGGCATAAAACATCTGCTGCTCTATGATGTTCTTTTATAAGCATTAATATTCTGTTTATGTGGTCTACACATTGTAGTATATTTAAATTTTTGGACTGTAAAATATTAGCCACATGTTCTAGCAGAGCCGAGTATTTTGCAATTAGTCCTATGTATACGATAAATTCAGATTTCGACGCAGCACAATGTAACTGGAAAGCAGTTTTCCTGGTAGATGCATTACCTTCTTATGATAACTTTTCCACTTCCTATATTATGTTTTTAAAATGTTGTTTAAATATACTAATACTTCTGTATTTCTAAGACCAGCGTGTGTCACATTAAGCTTGGAGCATTTAGTATATAGTATCTTGTTTGTAGAACAGATTCACACGAAAAAGTTTATCACATCCTTTACAGTAGCAATAGTATTTCTGATTTCCGATATGCAGTTCAAACTGTTCACAACTAAATTTAGCTTGTGACAGGCACAATGGAAAAACAAGGCTTTTTTATACTTCTGTTGCAAGATCTTCTGCACGCCACTAATATTCTCTGCCATAGTTGAACATCCATCATAACCATGCCCAACACATTTATTTGGATCAAAAACCTTCCCTTTTCAGAAAAAACGTATAATTCATTTATTACAGTACGAGTATCCATTTCATTTAGTTCAGTAAATCCTAGGAATTCCATGACAGCCATCCTTTCTTCATCAAAAAAATCGAATACCAATTGACAATTGTGCCTTCCCAGATATATCACTTGTTTCGTCTGCCATTATGTCATAAGCAGAAGCTTTTTTTGCATCTCGTATTATAGTGTCTTTCAACAGCAATCCACACAAATTGATCAATTCATTTTGGATTTGAGGTGACATGTAAGTAGCATTTTTACTACCTTTTTCAAAATGTCTTTGCAAACTTTTATCTCCTACTTTGATTCTTAAATGAATCAGGTCCTGAATTCCCTTCCTGTTTCATCTTACCCCTTAGGAAGAGATCATGTTTTCCACAAAACATGATTATGGAAATAATTGATGCTATTACGTTTGGATTTCCTTCCATTACTTTTTTGTGCCCAGAAACAAGTCTATCATTATTTACAGGTTCATTTTTTAGAAAATTCTTGGCTGCGATTACTGATGCTTTTGCCACTGATTTGAAAAGTGATTTTTTACAAGCTTCATGCATGACATGATAATGCATGAATGACTTAATAATGAAGAAGCCCAAAACACCTTTCACTCATGCAGAAGCAGGATGGAAAAGAACACAGTACAAGCATAATGCTCCTTTTACACTTTCTGAACATGCGAGCCAAGGAGCATACGTCTTTAGCCACTAATATCTAAACTTTCTTCTTGAATGGATAACATCTGCTGCAAAATCATAATTTTCATCAGGTATCCAACAATATTTTAATATTTCCATCTTTAGATGCGTGGCCATTGACACGAACACCCTACCCACCCTCCTAAATCATGGTTGCAACATTCCTCCTCTTAACCCCTTAAGGACCAGTGCACAGAGACCGAAACGCAGTCAAGGGACCGGACCCGCTGAAATGGATTTTCACCACTGGAACACGCATTTTCAGCAGTTAAGCCTAATTTTACAAAACAAATCTTATAAAAGCAGAATTTCGATATTATGATTTCAATTTTTGAAGTTGTGTATTTACTGTACTTGTTTTAATGTGTATTAATATAAAGAGTATCACATTAATAGAAATAAATTTAAACTGGAAAAATACTAAAATTATAACTATGCACACAGAAATAAATACAGTCAAAAGTCGTTAATTCGGACACCCATAATCCGGACCTCAAATCTACAAACTTTCTGCGTCTACAAACTTTCTTACGCGCATGGGTAAGACCTTTACAGCTGCAAATATGCGTGTGCGCATGCGCATAATACGTTTACACATGTGCGTTTTGTTGGAAAATATAGCTTATTTTTAAACCTTTTACTGCATCATCTCTCCTCCTTGAAATGTTTATTTAGTTTAGTCCTTATTTTAATGTAATATAGTAGTTACTTCTACTTCTTTTTCTTGCTGCCACTGTTTGCATTGAGAACGGACTGTTTCAACCTAATTGAGATGCAAAAACAAAACATGATGTTACGTCATCTGAAGAGCCAATTCGTGCCGATAGCTGATTGGTTGCCGTGAGATGACGTCATTCCTACTTCTGCTATAAGTATCTCGCGTCGCTCTGGCTCAACCCTTGTAGTTCCTGCTTTCCCGGCACGTGAGTGAGTGGTGGTAGAATTCTATGACGAAGCTTGTCCACCACTATGATAAGTGCCTCAATTTGTTTGGCACAACGCGTTTGACTTCCAGAGTATCTTTGCAAATTAATGCAATTACCTCCACAACTTCGATAAGAAAACTGAATTAATTAAGAAAAAGCAATGGCTAAAGGGAAATGAACGAAACCGTTAAGGGTTTATGGAGAGAGAAGTGAATAAGGAGTCCACACTAGGGACGAAAAATTCTTTCTGCTTTCAACTTGTTTTACAAGATTGAAAGAGAGAGAGAGATGATAATTAAGGCGAATTCCTGAACGCACTGCGTTAATGGAATCGAGAAGGTTGGAAGACAATCAGCCGGGAAACATATTGTTCCAAGGCTTGGGAAAGGTAAAATTAGGTAATACGGAAAAGCCGCAGAGATTGCTAATGCCTT